AAAATCTGATCTTTTGTACAAAGCAGCTAAAATGGTCAGGATCACACATTTGCTTACATTTAAATAGGGACTTAGAAATAGTGCAGAATCTTAAATAATAAATATTCAAGATATTGAACATTTACTTGCTTTGTTTTAAATATTTCAAAATTCTAAAACTTTCTGTTTATTTCTAATTTTAAATGAAATTAGAAAATTCCCAGATTTTCAGTGTGATCTCAGACTTTTGGACTCCACTGTATATCCAGTCAGGTCCGGAAATACTTGGACAATGACAGAGTTTTTGTGATTTTGCCTCTATACACCACCACAATGGATTTGAAATAAAACAGTCAAGATGTGATCGAAGTGTAAACTTTCAGATTTATTTTAAGAGGGTCCACAAAAATATGGCATTTACCATTTAGGAATTACAGCCATTTTCAACAAAGTACTTCCATTTTCAGGGGCTCAGAGGTATTTGGACAATTGACTGACATGAAGTTGGACGGTCCATTCCCTCGTTACTTCAAGACAAATGAAGCAGATAAAAAGTCTGGAGTTGATATCAGGTATTGAGTTGGCATTTGGCAGCTGTTCGACTGGAGCTACCAATATGAAGTCAAAGGAGATCTCAATGCAAGTGAGGGAGGCCATCATTAGGCTGAAAAAACAAATAAATCTATAAGAGAGATAGCAAAAACCTTAGGTGTGGCCAAATCAACAGTTGGGTACATTCTTAAAAAGAGGAGAAAGCACTGGTGAGCTCAACAACATCGAAAGGCCAGGAAGACCACGGAAGACAACTAAAGCAGATGATCGCAGAATCCTTTCCTTGGTGAAGAAAAACCCCTTCACAACATCAACAGAAGTCAAGAATACTCTGGAGAAGGTAGGCGTATCATTGTCAAAGTCTACAATCAAGAGACGCCTTCATGAATGTAAATACAGAGGGTTTACAACAAGGTGCAAACCACTGGTAACACTCAAGAACAGGAAAGCCAGATTAGACTTTGCCAGAAAACATCTAAAAAAGCCTCCCATGTTCTGGAATAAGATTCTTTGGACTGATGAAACCAAGACTAACTTGTACCAGAATGATGGGAAGAGAAAAGTATGGCGAAAAAAAGGAATAGCTCATGATCCAAAGTATACCACATCGTGTCAAACATGGTGAAAGCAGTGTTATGGTATGGGCATGTATGGCTGCCAATGGAACGGGCTCACTGGTGTTTATTGATGATGTGACTGCTGACAGAAGTAGCAAGATGAATTCTGAGGTGTATAGGGCTATACTCTCTGCTCATATTCAGCCAAATGCTACAAAACTGATAGGACGCCGCTTCACAGTGCAAGTGGATAATGACCCTAAACATACTGCGAAAGCAACTCAAGACTTTTTGAAGGCAAAGAAATGGAATATTCTTCAATTGCCAAGTCAGTCGCCTGATCTCAACCCAATAGAGCATGCTTTTCAGTTACTGAAGACAAGACTGAAGGCAGAAAGACCCACAAACAAGCAGCCACTGAAGGTGGCTGCAGTGAAGGCCTGGCAAAGCATCTCCAGGGAGGAAACTCAGAATTTGAGTTTTGAGAACTTGGGCTCCAGACTTCAGGCAGTCATTGACTGCAAAGGATTTTCATCCAATTGAAATTAAAATTATTGTATTAAAATTATGGTAATATTTACAATTATGTCACTCTGTCCAAATACCTTTGAGCCCCTGAAAATGGAAGTACTTTGTTGAAAATGGCTGTAATTCCTAAATGGTAAATGCCATATTTTTGTGGAACCTCTTAAAATAAAGCTGAAAGTCTTACACTTCAATCACATCTTGATTGTTTTATTTCAAATCCATTGTGGTGGTGTATAAAGGCAAAATCACAAAAACTTTGTCATTGTCCAAATACTTCTGGACCTGACTGTATTATGTAACTTTCAAAACAGATGTCATCTTATTTGAGAAATGGAATAAAAAGCGTTCTTGCTGTTGGACTGTTGGACTCAATTGACAATTGACAATTTATTTATATAGCACAATTAATTACAACTTCCGTTGACCAATGTGCTTTCCAGCATGTCATCAAAAACAGAAAAACACACAACAAACAAACAGAAAAGTTATAAAAACATACAAATATCCCATCAGCCATACGCTTTAGAAAATAAAAATGTCTTAAGCCTGGACTTAAAAATATTAAGAGAAGAAGCTTGTCTAATAGATAGTGGTAAGGCGTTCCAAAGCCTGGGGGCCGCAATACAGAAAGCATGATTTCCCCTACACTTAAGCCTCGACTTAGGGGTAAACAATAGATCCTGGTTGGAAGACCGAAGGGATCTAGTGGGTTGATACTCCGTCAATAACTCACAGAGATAAGAAGGGGCCAAACCATTTAGAGATTTGTAAACGAGGAGCAAAATTTTAAAATCCACTCTAAAACGAACAGGCAGCCAGTGTAGTGAGCGTAAAATAGGAGTAATATGCTCCCTCTTTTTAACCCCACTCAAGAGTCAAGCCGCAGCATTTTGAACAAGCTGCAAACGGGATAAAGCTGTCTGGCTAATCCCAAAATAAAGTGAGTTGCAGTAGTCCAGCCTAGATGAAATAAAAACGTGAATTACTTTTTCAAAATCTTTAAAAGAGAGAAAAGGCTATGCTTTAGAAAGCAAACGCAGCTGAAAAAAGCAAGCTTTGACAACTGAATTTATTTGACGGTCAAACTTTAAGCCATCATCAAAAATAAAACCCAGGTTTTTTACCCATGGTTTCAAGCACAAAGACATCCCACCCAAATCCAATTTCGTGGAATTTGAAAACTCAGACGGACTAAAAACAATAATTTCAGTTTTCTTTTCATTGAAAACTAAAAAATTTAATGAAAGCCAAGCCTTCACATCCGCCAAACATGCCATAAGAGACTCAAGACCCGCAGAATTGCGTTTGACAGGGAAATAAACCTGGGTGTCATCCGCATAACAGTGAAATGACAAACCATGTTTTCTAAAAATCGAGCCAAGAGGGAGCATATAGAGAGAAAAGAGCAAAGGAGCCAAAATAGAACCCTGGGGAACCCCACAGGGCAAAAAAGCATTACTCGAGTAATGTTCACCCATCTTGACTGAAAAACTCCTATTTGCAAAATACGATTTAAACCAATCTAAAGCTACACCTCTTAAACCAACGTGATGTTCTAAACGATCGATGAGAACCACATGATCGACTGTATCAAAAGCGGCCGTTAAATCTAAAAGCACAAGGACTGCAAAATCACCCGAATCACATGATATTAAAATATCATTAAGAACCTTCAAAAGCGCAGTCTCAGTAGAATGACATTTACGAAAACCTGACTGAAATATTTCAAACATTGAATTATCAGCTAAAAAACTTTGTAACTGTGAAAACACAATTTTTTCCAGAATCTTGGAGATAAAAGGCAGATTAGAAATAGGCCTGGTTTGTTACAACTGATGAGTCCAGATTGTTTTTTTTAAGCAGTGGGTAGACTACTGCATGCTTTAAACAGTCAGGCATAATGCCAGATTCTAAACTGCGATTAATTATGATCAGAAGATAGACTCAGACTTCAGGCTTCCGGACACTATAAGTGCAGTGCAATAACGTGATGGTAAAGGGAGGAGTGGATGGTTAGGTGTGTTACCTGGCTCGGCTCAGTTTGTGATTTTCGGAGGTCCACATGTGTCTGTGCTGGCGTAGCAGGCAGCTCTCTTTCCTCTCCTGAACCACACGCAGACTCTTCTGCACCTGACACAGAGCACGCAGACATCAAATACATGTGTAACACTAGCATCATCTGAATAGGCTTGCTAGTGCTGGTTCATTGGTTAAAGGGGGTTTCTGGATTACTGATCAGGAGGTCAAGGTTCAAGCCGCAGCACTGCCAAGCTGTCACTGTCGGGCCCTTGAGCAAGGTCCTTAACCCTCTCTGGGCCAGGGGTGCTGTATCATGGCTGACCCTATGCTCTGACCCCAGCTTCCTAACAAGCTGGGATATGTAAAGAAAAGAATTTCAATGTGCTGTAATGTATATGTGACAAATAAAGGCTTGTATGTCTACATTTTAGTGTTTCATGAATAGTTTCTTTTTTATTTACTTATTTTATTGTACAGATCCTGATTGGAGTTTTGTAATTCCCAGCACAATTGACACACAGCTACACAATGAATAACTCACAACACATCCACGTTACTTTTACTAGTTATCTAAATTCTATTTGTTTCTTCCATGGCTGTGTTTCAAAATAACATCAGTGAAGCCATTTAGTTTAAGAAGGTTATACAACAATTAGATTAAATACATATGTTATTTTTCATGTGATCAATTGTTCATTTTCCCTGCATTGGCCTGGTGTCCCATCCAGAGTGTGTTCCAGGGATATGAATGAACATGATGAATGAATGTTACTTTACACACAACATAAAATGTAAAGTAAATTAGCTGCTACTTTAATTGTCTCGACACTTTTATTTTTTCCTCTCTTACTTACTTTCTTCTCTTCTTTGTTTCAGTTTTATTTTCTTTTATTATTATCTTTCTTCTATCTCATTCTGTTGCTCTTCCATTCCTTATTCCTTATGATCTCTTTTCTTCCATTCCTTATTCTTCCTTATGATCTCTTTCTCATTCTCTCTCTCTTTCTTTCAGCCCCCCCCCCCCCCCCCCCCGTGTTGTTTCTTTTTTATTTGTCTTGTTTGTATGTTTGTTGTTTTTCTTACTCACTTTCACTTTTTCTTTTTACATGTCTAGTTTTTTTTCTTTTCTCTCTCTTATTGTTACTGTTTCTCTAGCTTTCTCACTGTCACTTGTGAAGCAGCAACACTACCTGCTGTGCCACCTCTTGAGGTGACCTCCAGTTTTTCTCTTTCTTTCTCACATTTTACATTTACTTATTTGGGCAGAGCAGATGGGGTAAGGGCCTTGCTCAAGGACTCAACAGTGGCAGCTTGTCGGTACCGGGATTCAAAATTCTGATCAGTAGTCCGGAGCCCTAACCAGGGTCCCTGGAGGACTAGTGGTTAGGGCTCGGCGCTCTCAATGCCACGGCCCGGGTTCAATTCCTGGCCAGGGAGCCAACCCCAGCCACTGGAGTTGCACATGACAGCGCACTCTCAGTGCTGGTCCCAACTCCGGATAAAACTGGGGAGGGTTGCGTCAGGTAGGGATTCTGGCAAAAATACCGTGCCAAATCAAAATATGTTGACCAATGATCCACTGTGGCGACCCCTAACAGGAACAGCTGAAAGAAGAAGAAGAACAACAACAGTGTGGACCCCAAACCACTGAGCCAACACTGAAAATCCTAATTCTCCCATTCAGGGAACTGAATCCAGGTGACAGGTGGAGGTACTGACCACTATACTAACAAGGACAGACTTTCTTTCTCAGCATCTTGTTTTTCTTTCCTTTTCTTTTCTTTTTTTCTCTCTCAAATTCTTGCATCATTTTATTGGTTTTACTTCATCCCTTTAGTTGTTTTAGTCTCTCTCTTCCTCCTTCAGTTCCTTGGGGAATGCAAATCTAGTTTCTACTTGAATGTGAGATGTTACTGTACATTACAGTAATGTAGGTAGGTTTTGCATTAAAAGAATAAACACATAGGTGCCACTAACAAACTGTTGAAAACTGATAAATGTGTCTTCTTCTTGTGGACGTGAGCAGTAAGAGATGCTAATGGATGTGAGATGATGACTTGTAATTTTGTCCAATGAGAACTCAAAGCCAGGAGGTTTTAGCAGAGCAGAAGGAAGGCATGGAGAGAGTACAGCTGAAATGACTGAGAGTGTTTTCATTTTGGTTTCATATTACCAATGTTGTGGTTACATTATGAGCCGCCGGGCCAATTTGTGTTAATACTCAGCCACTTCTGGTTATTAATAGGCTGACTTGTCAATAGATTCTGCTGTGCTGGTTGTTTTGATCATTTTATTGACTAAAAGCTAAAGGTAATCACATCTAATACTTGAAATGACGTGCACACAGCACACAGTGAGCAATAGTTACTTCAAACTGTGAGCATTTGCACTGGCCCACTTTTGTACATCCTGCACTAATGTATAGTTAATGTCTCTATTTTTATTTTATTTTCCTAAATGTTTATATTTCTATATTTTGTTTACTTTATTAATATTATTTTTTTTATTTCTTGTATTTTCCTGTTACTGTACTAAGCACCAGTACATCAAGACAAATTCCTTGTACATATAAACCTACGGTACTTGGCAATAAAGGTGATTCTGATTCTGATAATGAACAACAACTCAAGGTCTAGCTTAGTTGCTATTGATGTTGTCTGCAGTGTGTGAGTGCACTCCACTAGTAGCCTACTTTATGGAGCTCAATATGGGAAATTGAAACCTCCTCTTACAGTCCTCTCAGTACATTCAGTTTCCTGGGCAAGCTACATCCTTTCACCACTTTATGCAAATGAACTCTCTTACTTTTTAATGGGTAACCAATTTGCCTTTATGTAAACATGTGACTGTGTTGAAATATTTTTTATAGATAAATAATATATACAGTGCCTTGCATAATTATTTACCCCCTTGAACCTTTCCAAACTTATCCATGGTTTGTAGTGTTACAACCTGGAACAGAAATGGACTTAATCGGGATTGTATATCATGAATCTTGGCCACTGACTTTTGGTAGATGGCCAGTCAGAGTTGTTCCAGTTCTGCCATTTTTTTCTGCCATTTAGTGGTGCTTCACAGGATGATCCAAGTTTGAAGCCTTCCAACAACAGGCAGATTTACATTCAGATCAATTGACACTTTAATTGCACACAACTTGACTGCATGCAACTAAATGTAAATACATTTGCAAAACTGCATTGATTTTTCCCCACTTCAGTATTATGGACTATTTTGTGTAGATTCATGACATATAATCCCAATGAAGTCCAATTCAGTTCTAGGTTATACAAAATGTCTCCATGTATTGCACTTCCTTTCTGTGTTTTTTCTTTTCTTTTATTTTCTGTTAATTTTCCACTCTTATTCTTTACTTTCTCAGTGTCACTTCTCTCTTTCTCTCTTTCTTCTTAAGGTCAATTTCACTTTTTCTCTTTCTTTCTCACATTTACATATTTGTCAGACTGACCACAGACACTCTTCTCTGAGTATCCTTGCATAACCTCCTTTATTCTATGAAAGGAGGAAATAAGTGAAGTGTCTTTGCTGTGAATTTTTTTGTTGTCTTATCCAAAGCAACTTACAACTGCGCTTAGCACTTTTCTTTCCAGGTTGTAACACTACAAAATGTGGAAAAGTCCAAGGGGGTGAAAACTTATGCAGTGCACTGTAATATATAATAATATAAAATATCATTGTACTCTTATTCCTGTTGTCTCAGAAAGTTAATTAAATGAGAAATGCAATATTAAAGGGAGAAATTCAAGTCCTCATTCTAACTTGTTTCTACAATTCTTACATCAAATAATTGAAAAAAATTATTATATAAAGTATTGCAATAATAGTACAAATTAATTGTGGCTTTTTCTCTGTGTAAAAACACCTTTTTGTTTTTGAATTATTAGACTTTGACTTATTTTATCAGGAGAAATGTGCTGATAGATGAATATTGATCTTCCCAACATGTATTCATGTGGCCCATACTGAAGGAGAGCAACACTTGTACATGGGGTGTCTCCATGTTCACAGCAGCTCAAGATATTGAAGACTTGGTAAAATACCAGTGCCCCGAGGCAGTTTTCTGAGTTCCAGAGAGCCACTACTGAGCCCTTGAGCAAAACACGACTGTTCAGCTATATGCTTTTATATCAAATAATCACATATAAAATGAAATTTATTCATTCATTTCTATTCAGATTCCCTCCACTCAAGGCCATAGGAAGACTGCAGCTAATCCAGATGACATTGTACAACCTCACACACACACACACACACACACACACACACACACACACACACACATAGACATACATCTTTATCCAGACTGCTTCACTGTGTTATCAGTGCTGTATACAGTACACATCCTATTTCCCAACAGACCTGTCCAAATTGAGAGCACACAGTATATTATGTTAAGCCTCAGTACCTGGATTCCAACACATGGAGTGGAAATAAACCCTTAAACCCTTTTTCTTTGCTGTGTTAGGTCATGTTGCTGGTCAGATTGTGCATGGTTCTTACTAAAAATTACTTTTTTTAATTTTTTTTTAAATAATATAGCTTTAAAAATGCAAACATCTGATTTTTTTTTACTGTGTCTATGTACACTCATACTGTATATGTACTGCTGATGACTGGAAGAAGAGTTTTATTGTACAGTGTAACTGCCTATTTGCATATGACAATCATTTTTTGTCCCCCTTTTTTCCCCTAGTTTGGTCACCTGCCCATTCCCACCCACCAGAAGCCAGCTCCCCCCATCATACGACAGCAACCCACAAGGGAGGGTGAAGACTAACACATGCTTCCTCTGAGACACGTGAAGCCAGCCAACCACATCTTTTCATACTGCTGCTCTTGCTGCATCACAGGGCAGAGTAGTAACGCACTCAGAGGAAAATGCAATCCACCCTCTTCCGCATACATTAGCTCACAGACACTTACGATTGGCTAGCATCACTGTGATTGACAGAGGAGAGAATGTATGCCATCCCTTGCATCAAGAGACCACAGACGATTTCACTCATCATTGAGGGTGATCATTTTTCTGTTGTGCAACAATAAATTCTTTAATCTCGAATCAGGTGTGGATATATTATATATTATAATATTAACCTATAATACCACGCCATATTGCACATCTAGGACTTTTGCCTTCATATGACTGCAGGTTGTACTGGTGTGTATGTTTACACAGACAATACACACAAATACAGAATAAAAAACATAAGCCCAAAGGGTAAAAGTGCTGCACTGCTGGTATAAGACAGCTGAATATTTACCATCACTGTTTTTCGTGAGTGTGCTGTGTGCTTTCGTAAGAATCTGTCTGCTTGTTGTTTCTGTAGTTATTTAGTCTGACATTTATTTGGTCTGACATTCTATCAACCCTCTCTACACCAGTGTTTCCTGCTCCCAGTTCTACACAGTTCACATCTTCTCTCTGCTCCTACACATCTGATTTACTCTGATTTACAAATCTGATTTGGTCTCAGTCTTGTCATAAACTCGGATGAAATTATACTCAAAATTGTCTCAGTCTTGGCCTATAAAGACTCAAAATATATTTTTGACACCACCTGAAATCATCATTTCCATGAACATGTACTTTGTAATGTTCCTGTTACAGTACAAAATGTAAATGTCTATCTCTGCATGTGGAGTTTTATAGCACCTATAAATTTCAAGTGACTATGTTTTAAAATACTTCATTTTCTGATGTATAGCAATATAGCACAAGTACTTGTAATGCACAGCTGGATTTGGTCTCAGAAAGTTGTATAAGCCAAAACAAATTGGAGTATTTAATGCATTTTATTTACCTGCTGTGTGCTTAAATGTGCTTTGATTTGCGAATCTTTACATGTGCTGTACTGCTTCTTGTAGCACTTTTGTGTAACTTGCAGACTCTCTGTCATTTAATTTACCTCACGCATACTCCATAACCACCCCACCCCGTGTGTGCTTTATTAACAATGATATAACATAGGATTACAGTGCAGTGCTTGCTAGAACAATGGGCTATGCTTAACATGTCCTATGTACTGTAAGTACTTTGTACTTTTTTGTACATTTGTACAAAATTATAATCCTGAAGTAGATGGGCTATTTTATTTAATTCAAGAGAAAATTCATGCCAAGTTATGAAGATACTACAACCAGCAAATTACCACATCTGAACATCAGGTCTTGGTCTTGACATGGACTTGGACATGTGTGCGGGTGATCTCGTCTTGGTCTTGCCTGGCTGTCATACTCGCTCTTGACTTGGACTCCATTGGCTATGGTCTTGGTCTTGACTCTGTCTTGGCTAAGGTAGATACTACTAATTATCATTAAATTATTAAAATATTTATATTTAAAATTCCTGAGTGCTCAGTTTGTCTATGTGTGGACTAATCAACCTCTCTGTAGTGCAGAGATACATTCTTACTTAACGG